ATTACCCTCTCATTTTTGTTATGCCTCAAATCTCCTGTTTTTTGGACTATATATCATGACTCATTGCATTCTTAGTCTTTCATTGTTATTTATTTATTTCTCAATATGTGTAAATGGGTATCAGGACATGTTTTTTGTCTTGCTCTCTGACTAATTTCTCTGAAATTGTATAGGTGTCTTAAACTTGTTTTCATATTATATCAGACTATTTTAATACAGAGCCAAAACTTGAAAGATAGGTATAAATAACATCCCATTCACGATGGAATTTGGTGCAACTTATTTTTAATGGGACTAGTCTGCTTAAAACCATCTTTTCAAAGCCTTTGTGCCAGAGTTTCTAGACAAAGGGGGCAGTATATGCATTTCCAAATGGAAAGATCCTCAACGCTTGGCTAATATTCATACAAATAGTCAACACTAGTTGTCCATTTTTGCTTCCTATCCACAGTCCAATCAATTGAATTTTATTATTACACACATTTTAAGTCATAATTTTCATGATATTATAGAATCATAAATCAGGAGCTGAATAGGGCTTAAGGGCTTCAGCAAGGCTCAATGTGTTATCTTGTTTTTGATAAATGTTGACTTTAAGGTCCCATCAATTAGACTATTGCCAGATTGTTAGTTAGCTGATAATTTGTTTCATTTTATTAAATATCAGAGTAAGTCCATTCTGTGATTCTTTTTCACTTTTATGCATATATTGCCCATTAAATTTTATTATGGTTTGAAAACTATTGGTGTCAACAGTCAGAATCCTAAATATACTTAGAAATTTCCAAGTAAATATCTAAAAATTATTTAATTGAAAATATCCTTTATATTAACCCTAAACCCAGTACCACCTCAGAAATTATCTCAAAACACAGAGTATAGGGTAGAGTATACACATATATGGGTATGTTTGTATCCATTCTGTTATTCCTTAAAGAATTAAGGGATATACAAAATTGCATTTGAATTCATAAACTATAGTAATTGTAATTATTCAGAATATTTTAATATATCCATCATAAAACATTACTGTATGATATTATTTGAATTCATGAATCTATGAGCATGGTTGAGGATTATTCTACTTCATTTATAAGAAAGCATACTTTATTTTCATTTGGATTCACATATACGAACTTATTTTTCAAATATACATATATTTCAAATTTAAATCTCCATCTACAAATAGAGAAAACCTTGAACAAAAATCTGATTTGGAGAAAAAGGCTTTTTTTTTTCCTTTTCTTTTTCTAATGTTCCCTCTTATCCTAAAGAAAAAGGCTTTTTCATCACTTTATTTTGCTTAAAATGTCTTAGGATGAACCACGTGAAAATTATTGTTTTTATCTTACCTGTGGTTCAATTCAGATAGAAGACAGTGTGACTATTCTCTTTTTATCACTTGCGAAAAAGAACACATGTAAATTACCCCCTGCTGCTCATCTAGTGTGGCATGATCACTTCTGAGTGATGACTACATTCTACTTTCCCACTCCTGTCAATATCCTGCCAGCATTAGAACATTTCCTCACAAGCTACTTAGCTTCTCTCATTTCCATAAATCCATGTTGGAACGTTTACTCATTGCACAAACCACAGTGAAACCTATGAATTTTGGCTCAGCCACTAGAAAACCAAGTGAAGACATAACTTGCCTTTGAAATACATGGACTCCCAAGCAATGTTGTTTGAGAAATCATTAGAGCTATTAGCTCCATAACTATTGCTATAGTGATGCCAAACTGATTAGGGGTTCTAATTCTAGGAAGATGTTTCTATCTATCTTAAAAACTCAAAGTCCATGTACCTGGATATACCAGTTCTTAAATTACTTAAGTATTTTTATTCAGTCATGATGTTGCCAATGGAGACATTAGCCTTTCCATCAGAAACATACAAATGTGTGCTAAGGAGTGAATATCACAGTGCCAAGATCTCAGAATTGCAAAATGACTTACTAATATTGACTACCAATTTCTTTTGTCTGTCATATAAACTAGCCAGCCATTAGAGAACATGCTTATAGATGTTTTAAATGATATTGTTCCACAATATTGCATTCTGTTCCATGTTGGTCTTGAAACAATCCTGGACACTATAATTTACATGGTGTCACAATTATTTCTGGAAAAATTATGCTATACATTCACAAATGGCTTCTACTTTTTTCTATGTCTGCATTTGACCACATTGTTTTAAGAATATATAATATTTCTTCTACACCTTCCCATTTATAACTCTTAAAATCCTATGCAATTAGCAAAGTTCATGCAAGAATTAGACTTTTTCTCAACACATCTATGTCCTTCAACTTGCATAACAAGGAACATGCACCACATATTTAGCTCTAGTAAAAACAAACCCCCAGACTCTCTAATTTCTGTCTATGCGTTTGCCTTCTAGTTATAAAGAGAATGCTATGAGGTTATCAAGAATTCACCATGATCAACCCGTAAAGCCCCTGGATCGAGCAGTCTTCTGGATTGAGTTTGTCATGCGCCACAAGGGAGCCAAGCACCTGCGACCAGCTGCCCACAATCTCACCTGGGTCCAGTACCACTCTTTGGATGTGATTGGGTTCCTGCTGGCCTGTGTGGCAACTTCCATCATATTAGTCACGAAATGTTGTTTGTTTTCTTCTCAAAAATTTGGCAAAACCGGAAGGAAGAAAAAGAGAGACTAGGTCAAGAAAAAGGGAAAATATATCTTTCTAAATTTGGCAAAGTCCGGAATGGGCCAATCTTGTTAATTCAAACCACAAAGAGCTTAACAAAAGCACATCTCCATCTTGTTTTCAAATTTTCCATTTCTCTACCTCAGCCTGAAGATAAGCCTAGAATTCAATGTGATCATTAACTAATAAGTGTGTTCCCTTCTTCCTTTGTCTGTTCCAGCTGGCTTTACCCTCCTCCTTTTACTTTTCTGACACAGGGACACTGTTATCTAAATTTAAATACGTTCTATTCATAATATCAATATTTTCCTTATATGTTACCTTAATTTCAGACTAACAGTATGCTGGATCTTGGGTAATGCACAAAGTATAAATAGAATTTGTTAGATATTCGGAAGCTCAGAAGAGTCAGATTCACAAGTTTCTGGAGACTACATAAATCGGGGACACACTGTAGGAGATTAGTGTGTTATGAGTAATGATTTTATTTTTTAACAAAAATAAACTGATTGCATAATGTTACAGGGATTAGAGCATGAATTTATAACTGTGATAGTGAATCACTATTAAATGTCTAAAAACTTTCCTGAGCACATCTGGATAATCATGGTCCAATGTGCCTGCCTTTCTTCAACAAATATTCTTATGTTTCTTGTAGTGGAAGTTTGAGCACTGACCTCAAAAAAAAGATCAAGTCAAACATTTTTTTTTCTCAAGGAGAAAGTCAGCAATATGTTAAAGGTGAACAGATCATTTTTAGAGGATATAACAATAAGAAATATAGAAAAAATATTAATTTTATACCATTTTTAGTTCACAGTACAAATGATAACATTAAATGCCAATTCATTACATTTAAAAGTTATGAATACCAAATAATCTGTAATCAATACTTATAATCAAAAGTTTAATTTTCTGTCAAAAAACAGGAAAATATTTACTTGGAATTTATGATCACTAATTCCCTGTCTTTATCTTCTACATATTTCAATTCATCAATTAATTGCTATACTAAGTGTATATTAGTCTACCAGCTTGACCAAATTTGAAATATATTCTATTTATAATATATTATAGTAGCTATTTATCAATGCAAAGCTCTAATTGAAGGCAAATATTAATATTTGGATCAACTCTGAATCAATTTAACAAATATATTAAAGATTATATTTTCTTTACCATTTATAAACTTAATGACATGTCTAACTAAAGTTTTAATTCCAGTATTTGATATATAATCGAGAAGATCAATGACATGGAGTAGCTTCATGAAAATTTTGAAATCCCCAATCATTTCTATGTGATGTATTGAAATTTATTTCCACTTAAAAAATAACTACAGGACAGGAACACAAACTTCTTAAATGTGTATGTTCATGAAAATACAAATAAATTGTTAAAAAACTTTTTGTGAAGACTCAAAATGTATTTGTTCAATGTTAACTTTTTAAAAAACTGACTACCTTCATGTGTTTTGAGATTTACAAGTTTTATTACATTTTGAGAAGAGCTTTTACGCCCAGTTTGTTTTCTGCGATTAGAATGATGCAAATGGCTAAGATACAGTGAGTGGTGGACTGGCCATCCCTGGGGATAAGCAGTGTTAGGCTCTCAGACACCCAGTTGGTGTCTGACACTGGCCACTCATTACACATGAGACTTACCACCACTCAGTAGACTCTGCTCACTGGATTTATCTCCACCTACTCTCTGGTATTCTGCTGATCTCTTCCTTTGCTGAAATATCATTAGAAGCCAGTTGCAGCTGGGCAAATTCCTGGGTGATATAAATTGCATCAGTCACTGTAACTTCAGTATGTTCTTGGATTGAAAATGAAACAAACACGCAAACAAACCCAAAAGAGCTGAGAATGGATTTCCCTTAACAGTCATTTGTGAAACTGTTCCCATGAGGAAATTCTCCATCCTAACCCAGAGGCCAGGCTGCATCATCGAAAGTGTTGTCACATACCTCTTACAGTCTCAGCACTTAGAGCTGCGCAAAAGGCTAATGGTGATAATTTATTTTCTTCCTAAACATGCCATGTGTCCCTTATTCTCTGGCAGCATCTTCTCTGGTCAGGGTTCTTTATTGGTAGGATGATTCAAAATTCATCAACTCCAAATCAATATGAAGACATGCAATGTCTTAATTTTCCTCAGCTTTCCACTGACCTTTGTTACTGGACATCAGAAAATTAAGATGCGTGCAAGTAATCTACTGAATATTAGACATAATTTTCCCTACGCTTAGCATGTTTCAGCAACATAGTTTATCTTTAGTATTTTGGATCAACCAACAAATAGCCACGACAGTAATGCCTTGTCTGACTAAATTCAGAAGCAAAGGATCTCAAAATAATTCCAGAGTATTTACAGCTTCCCATCTAATAAATCATGGCCATATGCCCGGGTAGAATTATTACTCTCTTGAAAACTACAACCTCCAAACTACCTGACTCCAGACTGTAATAAAGAAAACCAAGCTTATCCGAGGGAAAGAGTATTAGGATCCATTCCCAGTTTCAACTTCTAGATTTCTGGACCCTTGTATTCAAACTAAAATAATAAAAGGAATCATATGTCAGGCCATGATTTAAAACATATACCACATCCTTTAAGAGAGCACCTCATATACTTGAAGTGTCGTTTCCTAGCAAAACCTTAAAGAGTTGTCATTAGGTATTGGAAACTTGCTAAAATTAGCAAATTACATGGAAATTGGACCCTCCTGCATTTTTTTGTCTATAAATATATCTCTTGATCATCCTTAATGTTAAGATCAACATCATTATTTGGAATATGAATTATTTTTCATTTCCATGCATTGTGATGCTGGCAGAAATAAATCTGTTATTTGGAAATTATAACTTCTGTGAAGAAATACTGATGCATTCTCTCGCATAGAAGGTGACTAGTATATTCTGCTACCTTATGGCTGGAACACTAGGGAGTGATGTCATATTGGAGAGGCATTGGGGAGACATCTGCAATTAACAGATTGAGCATGTAGCAGCTTCGCTAGCGAGGTTAGACTTGGTGAGGTGAAATTTATGCTGTGGAGTCATTTATGGTTTCTGTTCAAGCCACACTGCCTTCTTTGTATGTGAGCTTTGTACAGTACCAAATTCTAGAGGGTCAGGAGGAAGATACTGGCATCCACATGGCAGTGCATCTAGTGCACCTTACTATTGAGACAGTTCTCTGGAATGCGTGCTTCCTACTGGGAATTTCCATAAAATATATATACCTACAAAGTTTGTGCCAATTCCAAGAAATGTATCTCCTAATTCAACCTTAGGTTTTCTTACTTCCACTTTAATTCTTCCCAAGTCTTTGACTAAGCAATTGACTCATTAGTCACTGCCCATGAGTTCGTGCATCTGTAACACAGGTCACTGCAGCCACCTCTGCTCCCCCACATACCGGATGTAATGTTAGATATTCTGCCCATCGGGAAGATTTTTTTAACCACTATCTTTCACAGATGGTCCCGAGTGGGGCTTATAAGTGAATACTCCTAAATTAAGTAAATAAGCCCAAATGCTTTTCAAGTTCATATGACTTTAATAATCTTTGGTAAATAAAGATAATTTAAAATTATTGGCAAAACAAATTAAAAATGTCTGAAAATTTGATTTACATATTTTTGCCTGAGCCTACTTGTTAAATTCTTTCAATTGGATGGTTTATGGTCATAAAATTGTTGCTTCTGGAACACTTTTCATGTTTGCTTAACATGTCTGTGGGTTAAAGCTGTAGGGCTGACTGGTGGGCTCCTCCAAAGTCTTACACAAACCTTACTTGAGCTGGTCTTTAGTTTTGAGCCTTCGATTTTGAGGTCTAGAGGAACCATCATGGTGAGGCCTCAGAACAACACCCAGGCCTCCTGTGTTCACTTGTTCAGCTGTGTCAATTTACTTACTTCCTAAGTTTTTTACTAAAATAAGGGTCGCTAAGAGTTAATATTATAATTAATACGTATAATTAAAACTACTGGGCTGGGCGCGGTGCCTCACGCCTGTAACCCTAGCACTCTGGGAGGCTGAGGCGGGTGGATTG